GGGAGTTTTCAAGAGTCGGGGGGTTGTTCGGAATTGTATTTGGGGGGCTGGGAATTTGTGGTTACGAGGTTTATGGAGTTAACGGGGTGAAGTGCCTTTTGTGGAGATATGGGAAGGTGAATCTGTTGGTGGTGGTAGCATTTGGGAATTTGTAGTACGAACTTAGTGACATTGCATCCGGTGTTTTTCAGGTTTTCATTGTTGGTACGGTTTAGTGTTGTTCCAAATTTTCTCGTGAGAATTGAATCAGTATTTTTTCGAGCCAGTATATTGAATGAACGAAGACACTGATGGTAGTAGCGCCTCAAGATTTGAAGCTTCCTCTACAAAGTTTCTACCTGAAGTGCGGTATTTTAAAATTGCACTTAATATATACCAACCTACCAAAATCCAAAAAAGAAACAATTACTTAAAAATTAATTCTAACTATGAAGTAAAATGTGAACTTCCAACTACTAACCAAAATTTCACACTACCAACCTAACAAAAAAAAACAAATAAAATTGCACTTAATATATACCAACCTACCTAAAAATTAATTCTAACTATGAAGTAAAATGTGAACCGAACGAACACATTTCTACAGCAAATACTCTTCCAACTACTAACCAAAATTTCACACTACCAACCTAACAAAAAAAAACAAAAACAAAGAAACAATTACTTAAAAGATGCAAAGTGTGCACTTTCCAACCCATTAATAGCCCGAACTAAAGGAAACCACACAAACACGAATTCAGGAATACCAACAACGCCCCACAAACTGACCAACAAATCGATCTTCAGCGTGCCATTTAAACAACACAACTTCGTTCGTTAGAAAATGGCGTTGGACAGGTCCACCTGTCGCGTGTCGTCCATCTATGGTTCTCCTTTCTCCGATTCGTGGACGACAGTGGCGGGCCGACATTAATTAAACGGCGCCAGGAAGCGGCCAGTCAGCCGGGGGGAAATTAGGCCGGCTCGATCCGCGAGCGTTCCTTCCTGTTTCCCGGATTCTCGCCGCGACCACGATCTCTCCAAACAGGCCCGTATTACGCAACGTGTGTCTCCTCCACCTTCTCTCCGCCTCCTCAATCCTTTTAATTAGCCGATATTGTCCTCTCTCCAGCTTGGCGGATTCGTACCGCGGCGTGTTGCAATCGCCGCCGCGCCTTTAATCTGCCGTTGTCTTCCGATTCCCCGGCCTATCGCGCGATCCGACACAACTTTACATAACCGGTAAATATAGTCCGAGAAAAAGCGGATCCCGTTTTTGTAGATCGTCGCGAAACGGTTATCGCCTAACGACACGTATCGAAATTTATTGTACCGTTCGTGCTTTTTTTGGAGGGTTTCTTCAGGCCCGTTCGATGAACCGGTCCGATGGCGGATTTGAAGAATCAGGTGGAGCGATGGTAATTCGAGGCGACGGTCGGAGGAGAGAAAGTGTATTTTGTGGAATTGTTTGGGAAGGTTTGAGTGACATTTTCGGAGCAATTGAAGGTCTTTTTTTGGTTTCACTTTGAGACGGAATTCTTTTCAATTATCAGTTTCACTTTTGAAAGCTGTATTAAGTTGATTTGACGAGGGAAAGTGTTTTATCTGATAGAGAAAGATTATGGTAAGATTGTTTGGAAGGTTTGAGAAGCTTACAACTCCAATTTTTTCTTTTTTATTTGACTCTGAGATGGATTGCTTTCAATTTTCATTTTCACATTTGAAATTCGCGCCTTGCCCACGTGATCTCTTTGCAGATCGAAGAAGTGTTATTAAGAGATTAATTATCATAATCGTAAAGCATCGAGCTAATACTGATTTCAAATCGGTCCAAGCGAATTAACACGCTCGCTGCCACCAAAAACTCTACAACACGCTAGACAATAAATTCTAGACCGCATACGCTGCGTCGATGGCAGCGAACACGTTCAACGCGGGAGAAAAAATAGATAAATTATTTGAAAACTCGAAATATTCGTCGTATCGCGACAGAATTGATGGAAAAGAAGAAGCCCTGAGATTTTGTATTCTCGTGTGTATCGGTAGCGGTGAATAAGAACGCGAACCGCTTAAATTTGGCCCCGCGAGAGTGGGCCACAAAAGCGTCCATTGTTCGTGGAGCGACAAGATCCACAGATTCCAGTCGTAAACCGAGTCTTCGTTACCGAACGGAGATCCATCCGTGAAATACAAAGAGAGGCGAGCGTAAAGGAAGTCGTCGGAAGACGGGAGCGAGGGCCGGGCAAAAAAACAAGGGGTCCACAGAGGAGAGCCTGAAAATATCCGACTTCTCGGCTCGGGGACAAAGAAACGCGTCCGTGAAGAGGACGATAAGAAATCGGACGAGTCGCCGTTTTATCCTGGACTTCACTCCGCTTTCGGATGCTGTTTAAAACTAAAAACGTCCAATGTCGAGGGAGAGAGCTGAGTGAAGTGTTAGATTAAAGTCCAGTTTCCATGGAGCGTTCGAGTCTTCATTTTGTGTCGACTCACTTTCTTTAATCTACGAATTCGTGTTTTCTTAGTTTTGTTTCTCTGTGAATTTTCAGTGTAATCCTTCAACAGACGAAGTATACTTTATTGAAGTAAGCAGAAGTTTGCTCTGCGGTAGGATGATACAGGCGAATTTCTATGAAACTTTAAGAGTCTACCGTTGCTGTCTATCTGTTTTCCTAATTTTACGAATTCAGATTTTCTTGGTTTCGTTACTGTGCGAATTTTGAGTAGAGTAGTTCGATCAACGAAGCATATTTTGTGCGATTGGAAACAGGCGAGTTTCTATGAACCTTTAGAGTCTTCGGTTGGCGTCGATTCATTTTCTTTAATCTACGAATTCGGGTTTTCTTAGTTTTGTTTCTCTGTGAATTTTCAGTGTAATCCTTCAACAAACGAAGTATACTTTACTGAACTAAGCAGAGTAGGCTGATACGGGCGAGTTTCCACGAAGCTTTACAGTCTTCAATTTGTGTTCATCCGTCCTTGTAAATTTAAGGATTAATATTTTTGTATTTTTACTTTTGTCTAAATGTTGATTGTAGTTTAACCGATAAAACATATTTCATTGAACTGAGTAGAAATTTGGTCTTTGATAGACCGATACAGGCGAGTTTCCATGAAGCTTTAGAGTCCTCGATTCTAATCGATCTATTTCTTCAAATTTAACCCTTTGAGAAACTCCGAATCATTTTTCTACGGGCTACCAGCTACTCCGAGAAGACACTTTGTAGGCGTTCAATTTTTCTTAAGAATATATCTTACAATGTCGCCGCAGCAGCGACAATGGAGCACTGTTAGTTCCACTTACAATGTCGCCACGGCGGCGACAACGGGGTGCAAAGGGTTCAGAATTCATATTTATCTTTCATTTTCGTCTAAATTTCGATTGCAGTTTGATCGATAAAACACATTTCGTTAGATCACGTAGAAATTTGGTCTTCGTTAGGCTAACACAGCCAGTCGATGATTCAGTAGATACGAAGAATTACCTTCCACCGATTTTCGGGTCGAGCGCCGAAACTCGTGGTATTATGAAAAAGCAGGGAGAAAAAGAGAAAAGAACGAAACGGATTTATCACGAGTCACACGGGGTGCGTGTGTAAGTTATCGGCGGGCCGCGCGATTAGTCTATATTCAACGATATCGCGGCGGTCACGTAATAATAATTGCTCCGTGTAATCAGGCCCGTGAATGAATTGATTCTTTGTATCGGCACGACGGGGACGCAGGAGGTTTTTCCGTTCCCACTGGATATACCCTCATACAATGTACAAAGTCGAGACTACAGAGTAAAGATTATCCGCACGTGGCTAATTATGGATTGCCACGATGATTGCTGGGCTGAACTCGCGTTTCGTTCTCGTTTCAATAGTTGCGTGTATGTGTGTGCCGTACTCACACAGGAAATTGACGACTTCTTTTGTGTTATGCTGGATAAAAACTGAAGAATGCAAATGGAGAAATACAAAGTGGACGTAAAAAATTCTGAATCGATAAAGGACGTTAATGTTTTAATTAATTGCTCGTTAAGGTGCACACAGTAGTGCTATAAATTCTGTCTCTAATAAAAGTGAGTTTATGTGACAGGTGAACTGAAACGGAGAATAATCTTTTAACAGTCTAGATTAGTAAGGCAGATTAAAACTATTCAAAGTGAGCATTTTTTTTTTTAACTATCCACAGAGGATAGTTAAACTGATGAATACACTTTTCTCTCCGCGTTAACGGTTTCAGAAAATTGAAAATTTGTGACATTTATAGAGTGCGTTAAAAGCAGTTCTTTTTAATACTTCACTCCGTGGTAATTACCGAACTGACTGGATTCGAGTTTCGGTATTTAACTCGATAAAATTATTTCGTTTTGTGGGACAGAGCATGTAGCAAAATTGAGTAATGATGGTAATTTTAATTTTTTATAAATTTTGATACAATATCGTGTCTTAAAACACTTGCTTCGTTTGAACGAATAGCGATACATTTGTCGGGTCAACCGGAATCAAGAAGGTTACGTGTTACAATTACATCAGGAGTTTATCTTCCTTTGTACTCGAGTTAATCAGCGTCCAGTTTATACAACAGACGGCTGTGTACCTCGATTTTTGTCCAAGAGACAAGCAGCCTATAGTGTTTATTTGACTTTTGTATTTCAAACAGCGTCGTTTAGTTTCTCTCTTATGACAGCTCTCGTGTTTACAGGTTTTTGCAAATGGCGACTGTATCTGCGCGATATATCGTCTATCCGCTGAATTCAACGCGTTTTTTACGCATGAAATTTTCATCGCTTATCAATCAATGCATTAAAAACAATAATTGCACTGACATTTCTTGGTAATAGAATAAAATTGAGAAAATTACCAAGGAACGAAACGAAAACGAAAAACAGAAGAGCAGAAATGTTTCAGGTGATTGTCCAGTGCAGTCAGCGTCTCAAGAAGAATTCGAGAGCGAG